CCCCCGCCACTAGTACTACCGCCACCGCCGCCACCCGCAACACCCCCAGAACCCCCGCCGCCCTTCCCTCCCTTCTTGCCGGACTTGCCACGTTTCTGTCCGCCAGAGACAGAAACGGCCGCCGTCTCCTCAGAGGGAGAAGACGCGGCAGTGGCAAGCGAGGCAGTGAAGGTGGGAAGCTGTGGTACCGCACACCCCTCAAAGAGACAAGGAGGAGGCGCGGAAGAGGCGGAGGCAACAGCGAGGAGGTCACTCTCGATCTTCGAGAGAGCGGTCTCAAGAAGATCGATAGTAAGCTCAGTGGGGTGCTTCAGGAGAAGCGCGTCGCGGGCTGTGGCTAGACGGTCAGGGAGGCGAGTGACTAACCAGTGAATAGTGAGCCACATGGGGGGGGGTGCAAGGGCAAGCTGTTCCTCAGTGCAAGCGGCCTTGAAGCGAGCTTCAAGGGAGCGCAGGTGGGTAGCGAGGTCAGCGACAGTCTCAAAGGAGGCGAGGTCAGAGTAGATAAAGGGGACGAGGAGGCGGCTGAGGGAGGCAGAGGAGGGAGTGGAGTAGCGAGCAACAATAGCAGTGTAAAGGTCTGCAGCAGACTCGACCTGAGTGAAGTGGACAGCCTCAGTTGGCAGGAGAAGGTCGGTCAGGGCGAGGCAGGCAGCAGCGTCACGAGACTCCCACACGTCACGAGCGAGGAACCGGCGCTGGTACTCAGCCTCCTGCTCGGAAGTAGGCGGTGGGGAAGTGGGCAGCGGTGAAGGCTGCGGCGGGGCGGGCAGAGCACCGGACGCATGCGCAAACAGGTGCATGCCATCCTGGCGCTGGCTCCTAAGGTGGCGCTGGGCCTGCGTCAGCCAGGTACTAAAGTCGATCGCACGCCCCTCAGGGTCGAAACGGAGCACGCGAGACATCGCCATGAGGGGCGAGGACAAATGATAGCGGCCGCCAGCCGCGAGAGGAGGAGGAGAGGGAGGTGAGTGCGAGGCGGGTGCGTGCAGGCGGGGCGCGCACTGGCTGGGCGCGGGGCGGCGGGGCGCGCTCCGGCGCGGCGCGCTGGCTGGCGTGGCGCGCGGGCGCGGCGCGCTGGCGGGCGGCTAAGCAGGGCGCGCGCTGGCGGGCGCAGCGCGCTGGCGAGGCCCGCTGGCGTGGCGCGCTGGCGGGCGCGCTAGTGGGCGCGCTGGCGTGCGTGCTGGCGGGCGTGCTGGCGAGCTCGCTGGTGAGCGCACTGGCAGGCGAGCCGGCGGGCTCGCTGGTGCGCCCGTTGGCGGGCGCGTTGGCGGGCTGGCGTGCAAGCGGGCTGGCGCGCAGGCTGGCTGGCGCGCTGGCTCGCTGGCTGGCTGGCGCGCTGGCGGGCTGGCGCGCTGGCTGGCTGGCGCGCTGGCTGCTGGCGCGCTGGCTGGCAGGCGCGCTGGCTGGCTGGCTGGCGCGCAGGCTGCTGGCGCGCTGGCTGGTTGGCGCGCTGGCTGCTGGCGCGCTGGCTGGCTGGCGCGCTGGCTGGCTGGCTGGCGCGCTGGCGGGCTGGCGCGCTGGCTGGCTGGCGCGCTGGCTGCTGGCGCGCTGGCTGGCTGGCGCGCTGGCTGGCTGGCTGGCTGGCTGGCTGGCTGGCGCGCAGGCTGCTGGCGCGCTGGCTGGCTGGCGGGCGCGCTGGCTAAGGGCGGGGAGGGGAGGGGCGCGCCGGCTGGGGCGTGGGGTAGGGCGCTGGCGGGCTGGCAGGGCGCAGTGGTAACCCTAGTGGTAGGGAAGGGCGGGCCTAGGACTAGGAGCGCTAACCTACTGCTGATACCATGTCAGAATGAGAACTACAGCAGAATGCGTTGTATTGACAGAATTGGGGTACATAACCTAACCCTAACTAGTTGTACCCCATATAGCCCAACCCACTACAGGCTATAATATTTGACAAAATGCCTCGTTACAGCTTATACTCCCCCTTCACAAGGCAACCAGGAGGGGCTCAAACAGGCATCAGGAGTAGAGCACCCGATCTGTATCAGGTGGGCCTAGTACCACACGACACCCTCGACCCGAGTAGAGCACCCGATCTGTATCAGCTGGGCCAAGTTCCACGCAGCTGAGCTGGCAGCAGGCAGAAACTGTTGCTTGGCGTGGCATGTGAGCATCAGACAATGCCACACGAAACTTTCACTACGAATCAGGAACGTCGCAATTCACACCAGTGCGTGTTGCATATGTTTTTACAGCGAATCAGCATCAAAGTCGCCTATTCTTTATAGTACACAAGCGATAACTTACATGTGACGAGATTTTGTCTTCATAAATCTCGTAATCACGCAACCATTTCCTCAGCGTAACTGGAAGATATTCGCGACGAACGAGTTTATTTGGATGTTCCAGTTGTCGAAGAGAGTGTTGCTCACATCTTGGCACTTCAATGCCATCTCGGAAGTGGGCATATCTGAAGGAAACTTCCAGGAAACTTCTCTCCGATAAGCGCGCAGAGTGTACCCCCGATACAAGTCTGAGGCTCAGCCTACCCTAGTAAAATTAGGCTGAAATTTCAGACAACTCATAAGAAAAAACTCTGGAAAATCAGACAAGGTACATAAATAAATTCTTTGAGTTCAGACTAGGTACAAAAAAAAAGTCTGAACGGACTCTGATTCAGACTCCAAAGTCTGATATCTAGGGCACTGAGTGGAAGTGTTGGCCTGGCGAAAATTCTAACGCTTTGGTTGACGAGGGAACTGGTTTCCTTGGTTGCCACACGGCCCCTGCACTGTTGAAGTCTGTGTGGGGGGATGGTGTCCGCGCGCCAGAATGACAGAAAGGGTGGACTCGAGCAAGACACATTCGTTTATAGGTACAGTGTTCAGTTTTGAACCCCGGATCGTGAGGAGGAACTGGATTTTCCGAAATGAACGAGCTGGACACGCCCTTACACAACAAAGCAATGCCGGAATTTAGGGTTTGGGAAACCCAAGTGTCTGGGAGCGACAAACTGTCAGCAAAATGCCTCCCGACTTGGGCAATTCAGGTCTCGCCCGACCCCTTTCAAGATTTTGACCACTGATGCAACGAGCACATCTATACAACAGCGAGCATTGCGTAGCCAACAAGCTTGCACCAAGCCCACCCACGTTAGCCCTGTGGTGTAAATCCACAAGCACTTTCAAAGTATGGCGTACCACTAAATTAGTAGCACGAGCAAAAGGAGATGTGGTGAGCAAAAAGAGCGAAAGGAGGGGGGGTACAGGAGTGGGAAAGGGACACACAGAAACAGGGGAGGACGAAGGGGGAAGAGGAGGGGAAAGGGGAGGCTTGAGGAAGGGGGAGGACGGGGAGGGGAGGGGGAGGGGTGGCTGGGTGGTGGGGGTGGAAGGGAGAGGAAGGTGAGAGGGCGGGAGGGGGGAGGGGGAGAGAGGGGGGGAAGGGATCTGAGGGAGGGGAAGGGGTGGAAGTGTGAAGGAGGAGAGGAGAGGATGGAGGGGTGGAGGGAGAAACGGTTTGCCAAGGTAATCCAAATCTATTGAGCAATAGGTGGACAGGGCACGGCGAGTGATTGTGGAGGGATAAGAAAAATTCGCAATACAAAAACTCATACAAACACACACGAACCCACCTACACAAAGACTGCGTTGGCTAAATAAAAGAGTAGCCTAAAGGTGAACTACCTAAAAGTTCATCGTGGAAGGCTGTCGGCTATGGCGGGCCAAACACCTCCTTCACCCCTTCTGGCGTAACGATCGTGCGAACGACCCAGTTATCATACGCGCCTCGACGCATGGCCAGGCACCTAGTGAGTGGAACACGACCGAACATATTCGACAAAGAACCATGGTCTACATCATTCAGTCTGCCTTGACGTTGACTCGGGGCTCGGTCTTCTCTGGATTCCGAACCGGGCTGCCTTCGAACATCTGATGAGTCGTCGTCTGACGGAAGCTGGCTGTCTTCGGGAATTGTCAAAGGAACGACTCGGGAGAGCGCCGCCGTGTGCATCCTGAAGCTGCTCGAATGCAGCCAATCCGTGTTCTGAGACATAAATTGCTGGCACAATCGGCGAGCTGCCTGCTCAGAAGGTTTGTGGTAAGATAGTTGGTAAACTATGCAACGATTCAGGTGGCGATGTAAGTGGACCTGCTAGGAGAGTCTGTTCGTTAGGGATTATTTGAGAGTGTAAATCAAGAAGGGATACGTAGCATCAAGCATATATCATGCCTTCCGCGAGATGACGGGGGACGAGTTTGAGAGGGAACGCAAAGCTGGCAGGCTCCGTGCAGCAGAGCTTGTCGTCAGGGTTGCGTCTCTAGTCCAACCACCGAATTCGCAGCGACGCGGATTTGACGTCATAGACGACTTCTGTGACTGTGGCGAAAAACATTCTATAAGATAGAAATTATTTTTCATTAGACATAATATGGATCTGTGGCGCAATGGTAGCGCGTCTGACTCCAGATCAGAAGGTTGCGTGTTCGATTCACGTCAGGTTCAATGCCTGCTTTTTTCTCTTTCTGCAAAATCGCCTTAGCTCAGAGATTTCTCTAGTTGCCTCGTCGGACCATTGGGGATTCGATACGAACCAGGACGTGTACAAAGCAGGGTCATGTCAGGTTTGGTTGTCGAAGCTCCACGCGTTGCATCCACCGTGGCAGATCTTCATTAGCTTCGCTTCACCAGTCAACACTCGAGCTCAACTACGTGGACCCTCCCATACGGCATCTGCCACGTCCACAACACCGTCCGAACGAGCCTCAAGCCACGCCGAACCAGCCAATCCTTCTGCTTGGCTGAAAGTGGTACAGCAGCTACTCTGACATGTCCTCGGAAATTCCGTCATAATTTGCAGAAGCTCGTTGCTTTTATGCTGCTAGCATTCAAAAAGTTAGTACTTGTGGCGTTAAGACAGAGTTTGCTGGGAGTCTGGAACGTGCATAAGGCTAGGCTTCAGATAGCGTGTCAGAGGAAGCCTTCTCTCATTACTGTCTCCCAGTTTTCTCAGAGCCTCTAGGTGGTCGTCTCGCGTTGTTCTCGAGGCCGAGTGGAAAATGGCGTCTCTTCTTGTTCAACACTCCGCCGTCGCAGCCTCCGCGACTCTCGCTTCCGCATCTCGGAGAGCAGATGGCGCCTCGTCAGCGCCTTTCGCGCCGCTCCCTGGTCGCAAGTCGGTGACGTCAGCCACATTCACGGGGGGAAGGTCACAGCTCTCTTCGTCTGCTCTTCGACTAGAATCTTCCACGTCAGCAGCAGCTGCTTCCACGCGGAATATCTCTGTGGCCGCGTCATCTTCATCGTCTTCCAGCTCAGAGGTACGTGGCGCGTTCCAGTCCACCCGTTGTCTCATCCCATCCTCAGTGGCGCCGCCATTGTCATCCTTCGCCATCGCGACGGTCGTCGCCGTCGCATGGCATACGATTGCATCGCATTTCACGGAAGGGAATTGACACAGTCATCAAGCGGAAGTCTGTCAGATTTATCAAAAAGTCGAACCAGAAAGACGGTGGCGTTGACGAGGCGGCTAAAGAGGGCCCTTGACCCTCGTTTTCAGGGCAACGGAGCGAGAAAATGCTCCTCGATTAAGGGAGCAAGGGGAGCGAAGGGAGGTTGCATGCGTGGCGAGCTAGGCGAGAGGGGCGAGAGGGAGGCTAGGAGAACGTAGACAAGACAAGCACCGTCATTGGAGGAGGCCTAAGCGCTGCATAACAACACCGTGACTGACGGAAAATGACGCGCCGTTCTTGCTCTCTCTCCCTCTTCCTGTAACCAACAACACATAGCGCACGTGGTCACCTGCTTATTGCTTCCTCTAACCCTCACTTCCGTCTTCCCCATCCCTCTCCCCGGTTCCGCCCCACACCACAGGAGGTGTTTTTCGACAGTGGTCCGCATGCAGGCGACCTGGCCCTGAACCTAGTGCTGGGGCTCACGGGCGTGTGGCTGCCGCTCACCCTCGCGTCCGCCTTCCGCGTCCTCACGCTGCGCTACCGCTTCACCAACCGCCGCTTCACTGTGCTCTCCGAGCTCGATGAGAAGGAGAGGCTTGAGTACCCATACTCGGTAAGAGACAACTCACTTGTAGACTATTTTACTAATATAGGTTGTGCCGCTCACACTCGCCCTCGCCTCTACCTTCCGCGTCCTCACGCCACGCTACCGCTTCACCAATCGCTGCTTCACCGCATTGTCGGATCGAACTGGAGGAGAAGGAGAGGCCCGAGTACACATACTCGGTAAGAAGCAACTCAGTTTCCAGCTAATTACCTCGCACTGCGCTGGTCCCCCTGGTGCTCTTTGACTGCGCGCTCATTGCACACGCTTACTGCTAGCATGCACAAATGCGAACCTTGCCTGTTTAAACTATGAACTGGCAAGTTTTCTCCTCTCCGGTTTGACCTGAACCCGTTACGTTCAAAGTTGAATCAGTTCCAGTTAGAGGGGAGTGGGGGGTTGGGTCAATCGACCGGACTGGCCATCATTGACCTCAAGAACGTGTCTGACCCTCCCAGCGAGTCCTCTCAGCTAATACCCTTCCCCCTTCCCCCCCTTTCTCCCTCCCCAACCTGCACCTTAAATCCGAGGTGCGACTAGCGCTGCGCTTAACAGGCGAGTGGGGGACGCGCCACGCGCCAACCATGCAAGACTGTCATTGACCTCATACGAGTCGTGTGCTCTGATCACGTCCCCCCTCCCTCTTTCCCCAACCTGCAGTTGGTGTCGGAGGTGCGGTCAGTGCCGCGCTAGTGGGGAGCGCGTCAATCATTCTCAAAGACAAGACCTTGATTGACCTCATGCGAGTCGTGGGCTCTAATCACGTCCCCACTCCCTCTTTCCCCACCCTGCAGTTGGTGTCAGAGGTGCGGTCAGCGCCGCGCTTCATAGGCGAGTGGGGGGATGTGTCAATCATTCTCAAGGACAAGACAGTCATTGACCTCAAGAGTGTGCCCAAGTTCAGAGAAGTGGCCAAGTACTGTGAGGAGCAGGCCAAGGCTGCTGCTGCCCGCGAACCCAAGAGTGCGGCAAGGAGCGGCAGCAAGGGGTTCGACACCTCTGCCTAGGAGATAAAATAAACAAACCAAGTTCTTTGCCTGCAAACCCAAGAGTGCTGCCAGCAGTGGGAGCAAGGGATTCAACATCGCTGTCTAGGAAATCGAATAAACAAACCAATTTCTTTGCATAACCAGTGCTGTTTGGTAGGAAATCTTGCCACCTCTGGCCTAGCTCGTGTGGCCTCATCGGCTAAAGTTTTTAAGCCCAAAGGAAGGTTTGTGACAAGCAGAAAACCGCTTAGCAGCGGTTCAAGAACGCCAAATCTGACATGTTGAGGTAAACTGGGAACCAGGGCTAACTTTAACAAAATGACCCGTCTGATATCAAGACCGGGTCCTGGCTCCTTGTCTGATTGTCAGACAAAAGCTGTAACATTGTCTAGCTTTTCAGACGAATCTTAAATACTTCCGAGAATATATTAAGCTAGGAAAACATCTCAGCCCTAATGGTTCAGCCAGTAGAATAGGGTGTTGTGAAGGTTGAAGTTTCCGAATCTTGTCTCTTGCTTCTGCTAGGCAGGTGAATACTAAAAAGACACAATATCCGCAGTTTCAGACGAACTGTATAAGGCTGTCTGAGAAATCAGATGAATGGAAAAGGCTTCTCTTAAAAATCAGACGAAATTAAACAGCATGTCTACGACATCAGATGTGTTGGGCTGAAACGCCCTAGGAACTTTGTAGAGTTAAAGTTTGAGTAAGTGATGTAATAGCGGAAGCGTTGAATAAAGTCCTTGAACCACATTGCGCTAGGATGTGAGGGCAAAGTGAATTGATTAAAACAAGGAGATACAGGAATATAAATATATGAGTACAGAGAATATGAAGAGACATTATAACTACTTAACTGTTGCGGTTCGATACAGTGCGACTCGGGCAACTGCTCAATGTCGAGTCAATTGTGACAAGACTCTACAAGGAGTCTGCAATGCAGTCGTCATAGGATGCAGTCGTCATATTATCATCATCAATTTGTACATGGCACACAATATATATATAACTAAATAGCAAGAACAAGCAGTACACACTATCTAAGCGTCTAAGCGTCCTAGGGGTGCGGCGGGCGGGAACTCAAACTGAGATGGATGAAATGAGACTAGGTGGCAGGTCCGTGGACCTGCCGAGGGATAAGAGGGGAGTGCCTCCTTATTGCATTCCCCCCTTTTCGAATCTTGTCACAATCATTAAATTTAGAAATTTATTTCTAAATTATTCATATTGTGACAAGACTCTACAAGGAGTCTGCAATGCAGTCGTCATAGGACAAACGAAACATCATGGCAACGGACAGTGGCGAACCCGGTTGACGGTGGCCGCATAACGTGCGGTAGCGCTTTGCCGAGTCGGGTCTTGCATGAGCCGGGATGCGCGAATTAACTCAGAGTCGAGTTGGGTGATGTACATCTCCTTCGCACCATCGCTGCGCCACCGCCCGAGCGCCTTGAAGAGGCGGTCTGGGACACCAGCATCAACAGCGAGGGTGGCCGCCGTCTTGCGAAAAGAGTGTGTCCCGAGGGTGGTAGGATCCAAACCAACGCGAGTAAAGGCCTCGCGGCACCAGTTCCGCACAGTAGTGTAAGACGGGGAAGAGTCTGACGGTGACGCGCCGTACCCAGGCCGAAAGACGCGAATGAGGGAGCCCATGGACACGCGGGAGAATCCCGCCAAGAAGAGAAATTCCTTAACGCGAGCAACGGGACAGTGGCGAGCGTCCGACGTTGCCACGGGAACCCAAGCTCCGGCACCACTTTGATCAGTCTTGGATCGGGGAATGAAGAGCCACATGCAGTCAGCGTCAAACTCGATGTGATGCCACTGAAGGGCGACGAGGTCGGAGAAGCGCAAGAAGGCAGAGAACATGAGGAGTGGAATGAGCCCTTTTTGAAAGGTGGCAGGGTCTCGCGAGGAGAAGAAGAAGTCGCACATGTCGTAGATCTTGGAGGGGGGCACAGGATCCTTTGCCCGGTTGGGGCGGGCACACGTGCGGTGGGCGTAATCCTTGACGTGTGAGGAAAGCGGTCCCTTGATAGGGGATGGCACGCCTAGGAGCCAGTGAGCGCAGGAGATGGCGGAACAAATTGAACGAATGGCTGATAGCGTCGCACCCAATCGGATTGATTGCAAGAGGAAGAGGGCTGTGGTGAGATCATTGGCCGGGAGCGATTGGAATGAGTGCTTTGAGCAAAAGGCCCGGTACTGCCGCCAGTATGGCTCATACGTGCGAATGGTGGATTGGGCACGAAGATCCACCGTGAGTGTCAGCAGGTCCAAAAAGAGTTTACAGATATCCGATCCTGCCACGCATGAACGATTCATTATAACGAAAAATCCATGCGAAGAACAATGAGGGGCGAGTTAGGTAGCCCGAGTCCACCAAACGCACAAACATCACTACCTAGTTCGAGACAAGAAGAACCTAGGGGAAGCAGCAGATGGTCTAGTATGAAGGGGGCACATGAAGTACCGTCCGGGTATATAATGGGCCACCAGAAGGCACTAGGCCAGCGAGGGACAAGGAGCGTTAGCCTAGCGAGCGAGCGTCGTGCATGTGCGATAACCGCCGGGATCAATGATGGTGGCGGGAAGGCGTACGCATTCTCCGCATGCCAACTGAAGGAAAAGGCATCTTGCGTGACTGCACGGGGCTGGAAGACGAGCGTGCAAAAGCGGGGAAGCTGGTGGTTGGTGGAAGTCGCGAACAGGTCGATTGTGTGGGGTCCCCATCGTCGATCGACAAGGCGAAACCAAGGAGAACGAAGCGAGTAGTCATCGTAGTGGATGACCTTGGACAGATCGTCAGCCTCCGTATTGAGCTCGCGAGGAATCCATTGAAGCGTCAAACGGATGCGGTAGCTGACGCAGAGCTGGATGATCACGCGACAGACAAGGGTAATCTCCAGACGTCGGGAACCTCCCTTCCGCATGATGTAGTAGGCAGCTTGGCTATCGCTGCGCAGTAGGACATGTTGGTCGCGTATGCCCGGGGCAAAGGAGGTGAGTGCCCAAAGAATGCCGGTGATTTCACGGAGTGTGCTAGAGCTAGCGGACAATGAGTGGGGCATGGGAGCAGAGAGCGGTTGTAACTTAGTTTTGAGATCAGAAAGTATTGCTCCCCAAGAAATGTCACTCGCGTCGACGTATATAACCGCTTCGTATGTGTGTGGGTTATGAAATCGAGCGCCGTTGAACTCGTCAAACCGCGCCATCCAGAACTGGAGCTCGTCGACTGAGCTAGCGGAAAGGAGGACTCGGTGACCCCACGACGGACAGTCTGCTATCTGTGTAAGCAAATTATGAGAGAATGCGCGGGCCACCGTGCCGAGCGCGAGCGACATGGATGCCAGCATGCCGGTGATGCGCGCGAGGCGGCGAACTGGGATGAGACGCTTGTAAGTGCCCTCCAAGCAAGTGAGGCGCATCTCCTCAAGAAGGCGAGTGCGTCGTTCCGGGCCGACCGAGAAAGTCAGGTCCCTGGTGTCCAGGAGTAGGCCGAGAAACTTGAGGCGCTGCACTGGCTCGAGCTGGGATTTTTTCGAGTTCAAAAGGAATCCAGCGGATCGAAGGTCTTCGAGAATGACGCTTTGAGAACGCAGCGCGCTGGTATGGCTCGCACTAATAAAGAGGATATCGTCGACGTAAGGAACAACTCGAATGCCCTGGCTTCGCCACCGTTTGGCAAGCTGCTTGATCAGTTGAGTGAATACGAAAGGTGCTGTCGCGAGTCCAAAGGGGAGCGAGCAAAACTGATATTCCACACCGTTGAAAGAGAATCCAAGAAAATGCCAGTAGCGAGGGTGAATATCGACATGATGGTATCCGGATTTGAGGTCAATTGTGAATAACCAATCACCCTGTTGGACGAGATCGGGAATGCGGTTCAATCCTTCGTAGCGAAATTTGGACGTGCGCAAGAAACTGTTCACGTGCCTCAAGTCAAGGATGAGCCGCTTCTTGGTCGGTTGTACGACTACGTTCAGCGGACTGGAATAGGTATTCTTGGCTCGGGCTGGGAGAACACGAGCCGCGCCAGTGGCTACGAGCTCGGCAATTGCCTCTGTGGTGAAGTCGCTATACTGCGTCGCACCCGGGTGATTAGGTGCACGGCAAGGTGCGGGCTCGGTGCTTGCCCATGGCAACTGATAACCGCGCGAGATGACAGACAGTATGAAACTGCTGTCACACCATGTGGACCACCACTTAACGCATTCGCGTAACCGACCGCGCATGTGAGCGTGTATTGGATGTGGAAGCACGAGGCGCATTGGAGTGCCTGGAGGGTGGGTGGCAACAATTAAATGCAAATGGGTTAAGGTCTCTCTTTTTTTTTTTTTTTTTTTTTTTTTTTAGTATTAGGGGCTGACCCTGGGAATGGGACAGATGAGTTCACCAAGCTCATGGAAGAATGGCAAATGATGATCCAATATTGTAAGCTTATGTCATTTAAAACATTTTTCACATCCACCGTACAAGGCGTTTCACTTGAAGATATGCGAAACAGCCAATTAGACTATGCGTGCCAGCTGGTTTGCCCCTTGCTCGCGTTGGGGGCATTGAGCAATACCGTGGCCGGGCTCGCGGCATAGAAAGCAACGTCCATCCCCGTCGCGGCGCCACTTGTTCCAAGAACGATCACCGTTACCCCCGCCGCGGCTATTCTGGTTGAACCGCTGGGGAAAGGAGGAGTTACGGTTGGGGCGACTCTTTTTCATTGCAGCCACGATCTGAGCGGCGGATTTCACCGTCTTATCCTCGACGACCTCTCCGTACTTAATCTTTAAAGCCACATTTGCCACATCAAACCCGCGTTGGTCGGCGGTGAATAAAAACATAATCTTTTCCTCGGCCTCTTGCTCAATCTCTTTTATGTAGAGAGCCGCTTGCTCGCTTCCCTCAGAGGGCAAAGCGCTCAACGCGTGACGAGCAATAATCTGAATCCTTTCAAAACCAAACATTTGAGTGCGAACTCCTTCGCTCTTGACAAGCGCCGATCACAGTTGGGGACGTGATGG